CATATTTCTTTGGTATTACAGTAGTTCTAGAAGGTGTTGTAAGTCTTCATAGAATTGGTCAATTTCAGCTTCTTCAACATTGTTGGTTGATACATAAACTTGGATTGTGATGTTGAAAGGTCTGCCTTGGATTCGTATTGAAATCATTCTCTCATTTTTGAGACTGTATTGCAATAGTACAGCTTTTCCCACTCTTTTGTTGACTGTGAGGGCTACTCAATTTCTTCTGTGGGATTATTGCCCACAGTACAGTGGAACCTCGAATTACGAATGTCCCTACCTATGAACATTTGGAACCTTGAATTACAAATGTCCCTACCTATGAACATTTTGACCTACGAACAGCTCCGTTTTGAAGAATTTTGCTTTGACTTGCGAATGGAGCTTTGATCTATGAACGAAAAAAAGGCAGGGAAAAAGGACGGGAAATTCAAATTTCCCCTGCTGAACGAAAAAAAGGCAGGGAAAAATTCAAATTTCCCCTGCCTTTTTTCGTTACATTCAAACCATTGGTGGCGAAGAGGCTGCTCTTTCACCCCAACAGTTAGGGAAAGGGTATCATAAAAGATTTCACCTATTCTTGCCTTTGTTTTGTCAAGCTATTTTCTCCACTCCAAATATGTCGAAAAAAATGCTTTCTACAAGGTTGTGGACTGCTGGGGAATGAAAGTCTGTCTTTTACTGAACAAGTTACAGTGAGAAAAGGAAAATTTAAGGCCACCTTATAAATATCAAAGCATCAACAGCAGTATTTATCTTCAGGCTCATTTTATAAAATAGATCAAATTCTCCAAACCAATTCTATCTGGATCTCTAAGGAAACCAGAGCCACTCAAAAAGGAGAGGAAGTTGCTATTTAAACTTTTCTCTTAAAAATACAGTGGTATGCTGTTGTTGGCATGCTATTCATAATGTCCCCTGAGAAAAGTGATCCAAAATCAGAACGAGCTAGTCCTACATTGGAAACCCTATAATTTTCTACTGTGCGTAGTCTGTTTGGACAAAAAGTACAAGCTGAAACTCAAGGTTTTCAGGAGCTGACAGGAGAAAGAGGTAGAACTGCAGCATCAGTGAATAATAGCTATGATTTAAAAAAGGCTTGCCAAATGCAGGAAAAAGCAACCCTCGCTATTCATTTGTATAGGAAAAATAACATAAAGCCCAGTAATTGGCTATAACTGTATCATCATTAGATCCATTGTAAAATGGACACTTACATATGTAGGAGCAAGCTGTGCTGAATCTCCAAGGAAGCACATATAGGATTGGACTGAATGCTGTGAGCCGGCTGTTGAGACACTATATTGACAGGTTAAACCATTTCGGACTGCAGTCTAATGATGCTTAGCAGAAAGTAAATCCCTCTGAATTCACTGACAGTTTCTTCCAAATAAGCATGCATAGAACGTTTGCTTGGAAAAAGTAGACAATAAGCTGAAGTAATAGGACTCTTTTTATTAGATTGTTTCAGCAGAAGAATTAGGGGTTTATGCATAGGTAATGCATTTCATAAGTGACAACCTTCGTGACAGTGAATAACTTTGTTGATTACATTATTATATTCACAGACTTCCAGTTCTGAGACCAGTCAACATGACTGTGCAGGTAAATAGTCTTCCTGATTCTTTTTGGTATTGGTTGATGGTATACTGACGTCAAAATCAGAAGAAAAATGTCTGCAGTTACAGGGAGTTTACCTTCCTCTGGATGTCCATACTGCAGAAATGTTCATGTCACTGATGTGCCTCCATCTCAGCTCTTACAGATAGGGAACTGTGCCTGCCTGCATTGCCATCAATGCATAGGTGGATCGTGTCCACAGACCCTTTTCTTCATAGGCCCTCATCTTGCTTAAAAATAGGTACCTGTTCCCATTTCACATATTTTGATTTGGTAGCAGCAATTTATGTGTTGTTTATGCATCTGTTTAAGCTATTATTTACCAGCTTGGCAACTGGTAAATAATAACTGGAGTTATTAGCTAATCTAATAATAATAATAATA